TTCAGATATCACATTAGCATTTATTCAACATCCATTACACACTAAATATATAACAATAGTTCTCTTAGATATGGTATTTCTTTTTTGTTTTTATTTCCTAGAGATGCAAAAATGAACATAAGTCGCTTTCAACAACAGAAAAGAAAATAAATATTCTCAAACAACTCTGATCATTCTCTCATATCCCATCCCACAACATGCTCCTGGAGAACCCCATCTTTCCCTATTAACACTTTCCCCACTGCACTGTAAAATACTGTTTTCTTAACTGTATCTCCCACTGGGCTCATGGATGATGTGATCATCACTGTTCCCCAAGTCCCTGGCATATATTTGGTGGTCTGTAAATATGAAATAACAAATGTCTGATGGTATTACGAATTCAACCACACCCATACTTCTTTTCACCATACGAGAGCTACAGAAGGATCCAAATCTTGGGAATGTAAATGCATGTCTACAATACAAAGATCTTCAACAATCACCAGGCCTGAACCACTTCTTAGCAACTGGCCAGGCTGCAAAGAGCCATATCAACTCCTTACTAGGACAGCTTAAGCCCCTGAAGAAATTATCTCATGCACTAAGGAGTGACCTGACATAAAAGCCTACTTGAAAATAAGCTGATGACTGCCCAGAGGGAATAATTTAAAATAACTTTCAAGAGGTGGGAGAATCATATACCCATTCCATATTCATCAGGTGTCTACTACTTGCCAAAAAATCAATCCGATCTGATAACATTTTCTCCGAAGATACCTGCCTCTTCGAATATTGGTACAAAGATTCAAGAAGTTGTATCACAGACCATCAGTTCTGCTAGTACATGTATTTCTTTGACAGGAATGACCTCAGGCATGATTGATAAATAGAGGACGGATGTCTGTTTTGGTTCATATACTATTTTTTCTACTTTGTTAATACTTTGCAGCAATCAAGGTAAGCACTATCACAGGGAAAGAGAAAGACTTAACAATGTGTGAAGATCTCAGAACAAAGCTGGAAATGCACTCAAATGCCTTTCTTTAACATGAGTAGTGGCTGATTTAGTGGCTTTGAGTACCACTATACTTTCCACTATATTGACCTCATGGCAAAACTGCAAGAATAGCAATGAAAACACTTCTCTTTATACAGATAAATTAAGACGGCTACACCCTGGATCATATTTAATTTCAATAAAATGGTCTCTCCTAGAAGCAAATGCCCTGTACAATCCACAGAGACAAAAGGGAAGCAAAGCTCAATGTAGACACTGCAAAGGGTGGACCAACCTGCTAAAAACATTCCACATCTCTTTAGTGGTCTGCCTTAATCCTGTTTTTCCCATAAACTCCGTTATTCTTAGTGGTGCATGATTTTGCAGAATGCCAGGTGTAGATTCTGTCGGCCTCCATACCCACGGGTTCCACATCTGTGGATTCAACCAACCGCAAACCGAAAGGATCCCAAAAAAACTGGATACTGTGGACACTTCCCTAGAGAGAGAGAACTGAGCCACCTCTACTCATGGTTTTATAAGCACCAAGAGGCCAAGAGCTTGGGAAAGAAAAGAGAGTAAAACGGTAACACTCACATAAGGACAACGAAGGTCACACAAGGTACTTGATATACTTAAATCAGTCTTCTGCTCACAGATTCAGTCAACAAGTAATTGAATGTACAAGCAGGTAGAGACCCAGAGACAGACAAGAAAGCTGATTGCCTATGGCACTGATCATTTCTTCCTGACACCCACACATCTAAGCAAAAGACTGACTAGAGTCTGGGGTTGCAAACTCTAATGTCTACTGGAGCCCGATGAATAATTTAAGGAGATTGGGTGCTTGGTAATAGGGAGCAAGGGGACAGAGACAAACTAGAGGTTGTATGCTCCATCTAAAAGTGTTCAAATCGTTTTTCTTACCTACCACTGAGGCAAGCCAAAATGTGAATGCAGCCGAGACCTGGCTCACAGGCTGCCACGCCATGGCCCCTATGTTTAGCAGAATACAGACCAAGGCAACCGGATGAGAAATTTCACTTTGGATCCTGACAGACACCTAACTCGAATCCATAATCCAAAATTTAAAATCACCTTCCTAGAACCGATGGCTGCAATACACCAGAAGATGATGAGAACTCTGCTACAGGAGAAACAAAGCAGAACGATCTATCAAGATTCAAAATTCTGGAACCTGAGCTTGTTCCTTATTCCTTCATTATGACTGAAGAGTCTATTACATAAACAAAGTTTTCATTTTCTGGTGTCTTTAAAAATCAGCACCTATTCCTAAAAACTGCTTCATGGAGGTTCACTCTTTACAATTTCATTGTCTAAAACGCCAAAGAAAAGATGAAGAATCTCTACAATCCAAATCACACTTCACCATAAAGGATCAAAGATAATGTCAGCAGACACACAGGTGAAATATATCAATTACAAATGTAAGAACTCTTAGCCCTCTAAAAACGTGGTTTCTTAAAATTGCAAGAAGCCATTTTATGTACACTTTAGTATAATATTTAATTAAAGTAATAAACAGGTCTCATTATTTAACATGAAATGTTTTCTTTTTTTTCCTTTCAAGGCCAGTCAACATACTGGATATTTCAATATTTTTCTTAAATCAATAGCCTACTTTTTACCCACACAACAACTTTACAGTCAGAAATATATAGGCTAAGGTACACTTAGTAGTTCTTAATTGTTCTAAAAGCTAAATTTGAACAATAAATTAAATTTTTCAGTATATGTTATGTAATGTAGACACAGGCTATAAAAATGTTGACATTGGTTATATTCTTGTAACGCAATTTAGCCCTTTTAGTAATGACTATGCAAATAATCAGCCATGGGAAAGCCATTTTCCATCTAGTACAATTACCTACTATCACAGAAGTATTATTATTATTGTCCTGCTTATTGAAATTCTATGAAAACTCCTGAGGTGCTAAGATAGTTTCAAGGCCATTGTGAAAACTCTCCTCTTAACTGACTCATCTGGCAACTACAATTACCAGTGTTAAGGAGGGCAGCTGCAGATCAACATTTAACAAGAAATTATCCCCAGAAGGTTCATAAGTTCCAAACTTTAAATGGGGAAATACTGACGGCTCCTAGTATATCCTCTTATCACCTTCGAGATACAACTTTTCACTCAGGCGAGGTCAAGAGCTCTTAGCTGACTCAACCTCAATCGGTAAAAAAAAAACTCCACGATTCCAACAAGACGAGCTTCACCCCTAAATATTATCTACTTTTAGCCAATGTCCCCACAGTGCCGGTTACACTTCAGGAAGCTCAACGGAACCTTCTATTTTACTGTGCTTCCATTTTCCATTTTGGAATTGTTCCACCATCTTGAAATCGATCAAGGCACTTGGGTGATCCATTGGCCACATCTGCTGAAGTTCTTTACCAGGTCTCTAGCTGACTTCATCTTGTCTCTTAGCATAGAGATGAGGAAGGCCACAGAGTAGTGAAGAGGGCAAGGTATACCATTCTTCCAAGGAGCTCTAAGGTCTGCCACCCACCCCACCTGAACCTGCTGGCCGGCAACCAAGGCCCGGGCCTCCGCAACTGCAGAATCGTTCATAAGACTCTGGTCACATAGGAGACCAAGATGCGAACTCGCCTGTTCTCCATTCTTCTTCTCTCACACCAGTCAGCAAACCCATCATCTGAAAAAGCTTCAATTGCCCACGAGGGCCTAGAGGAAAAAGCTTCTTAGGAATCACCGCAGTAGTCTGTCCTGGGTGGATCACCCTGCAATGTCTTACGCAAAAGGCTAATTGTACCCCTTCAGGGCGCTCATCTCAATGGAGTCCAAAGCCTTGAGAACCAGAGGTCGTGTGAACCAATTTACTGTCAGGGAAGTGCGCGTCCAGGCTCACCCACGCGCGCAGGTTTCTTGGAGGCCCCGCAACCCCTCTGTTGGAAGACGCCTTAGCTTCTTTATCCTGAACCTGGTCTTGGCGGCCAAGACCTCAGAGGCCATCCCCTCCGGGGAGTGGCGTCTGTTCCTCGTTTTGTCCGCTTGTGGAAAACCCAAAGCAAAGCAGCTGTGCTCCTAAGCCCTCGCTCCCCAAAGACCATGGGTATCCCTTCATTGTTTGAAAGATGCCAGACTCACTTCCTCCTTCGCCACTTTTGGGAAGACATGAGAGTATCCAACGCGGCCACGACCCATGTGGACCTAGAGCCAGGTGTCCGCTGAGGGTGACGAGAGCGCCGGGCGCGGGGCTCGCACCGGCGTCCCGGGTCCCCGTGGCCTCAGACTTCCACGCTTCCTCCCACCCAGGGCCCTCTGCAGCGCCCCCTCTCGCCCCTAGGGAGCACGACACCCGCAGGGGCCGCCCCTCCGAGCCCGGAGGGCGTCGGAGCCGGTGCGGGGGCAGCAGGTGGTGGGCGAGGGAGGTGGCCCGGGGGCGCCGGGGAGCGGTGTGGCGGGTGGACCCCCGAACCCCAACCCAGCCGTCCCCTTCGCAGCCCCCCGGCACCCCGCCTCACCCCGGCCGGGCTCCGCTCTGATCGCCCGCCCCCTCCTCCCCCGCGCCCCCGGCCCAGCCCGGCCGCGCACCCCCAACCACACACCCCCGGCGGCCGCGGTGCGGCCCCCCGCTTTCCCAGCACGTCCGGCGCCGACTTTTACCTGTACTTTCTGCACTCGAGGCGGCTCGTCGGGCGAGAAACACCTCCCCGGGACCGCTACCTCCCCCGCCCCGGCTCCGCCCGGCTTCCTCCTTCCCCTCCAAGGCCGCAAAGTAGATGGAGTAAGAGAGTGTGTGTGCGAGAGAAAGAGAAAGAGGGAGCGGGCGCGGGCGCCGCGGGAGGCGGCGGGCGGCGGGCGGGAGGCGCGCCCGGCCCCCGCCACCCTCCGGCCGCCGCCGCCACCGCCGCGGGCTCGGCAACTCCGGATCGCGCCCGGCCCCGGCCCCGGCCCGGTCCCCGCCGCCCGCCGCCGCCGCCCGCCGCCGCCCGCGGGCTGGGGCCGGCCCGCGCCCCCGCGTCCCCGTACCTCGTAAAGGTCCCCAGAAGCCATGCCAGGCTGCGGAACTTGGCTCGCCGGTGTGCGCGTCTGCTCGCTCGCGCCCTCCGTGCGTGTGCGCGCGGGGGCCGGTGTGCGCGTGTGTGTGCGCGCGTGTGTGTGCGAGTGTGTGTGGTGTGTTGAGTAAACTGTGTTTTTGCAGAATGACAGGCTTGGGGGCTGCCTATGCGCAGAATCAGAGCGGGCGGCGGCGGGGCTGGCGTAACCGGCAGCGGCGGCGGCGGCGGCGGCGGCTGCACGAGCGCGGGCAGCAGCGACGGCCGCGCAGCGCGCCCGGGAGGCACGGACGCGGCCCGAGCGCCGCGGCCCCCGCGACCCGGCGACCCGGCGGCGGTGGCTGCAGCCGGCAACGGCTCGCCCGGGCGCCGCCTGCAGGAAGCCGCCCGGCGCCCGCCGCCGGCCCGGACGCTGCTGCCACTGGGCGAGTCCCCGCCCCCCGGGAGCCCGGCCCGGCCCCCGGGGCGGGGAGGCGGGGGCTGCTGCGCGGCCGCGCCCCGGGGGACCGGTCCCGGAGGCGACGAGCTCTCGGGCCCGCCCCGCCACCCCGGGCCGGCTTCGGGGGCAGCTGGCGGGGCCCCCGGGGGGCGGCGGACCAGGTGCCCGCCGGGCATGCCGGATCCGGGGCCGCGAAGGGGCGGCCGGGAAGCCAGGTAGAGGGCTGCGGCTGCAGAGCGCAGGGAAGGGACCCCAGCGGAGCCCCGCCGGCCGGGGGTCCTCACCTCCCTCCTCCACCCTTGGAGACCTGGCCCCTCGGGGCTGCGCCGCCCCTCCCTCCAGGCTGGGTTGTAAGATGTGGAGGCCACAGGGAGGAGGGATGAAGTGGCCCATCCAGAGGTGTCGTGGGGATCGAGGACAGGCGTGGCCACCCCATAAACCCTGGAAAGTCTTTAGAGCCAGGCGTGGCCTTCCCTCAGCAACCCCTCTCCCCCATTCATTCACTCATCTCCTTACTCAACATTTACCGTCAACCCAAGTGCACAGTGTCTCTGGACAGGCACAACTGGGACCCTGCCCACAGGGACTTTGAATCCACAAGTGAGGAGTGTAATTAATGGAGCACTCAGTTGTTCTTCTAAAAGGTCATCCTGCGTGTGACAGGCTGAGGAGCTAGAGAAGCTCTCCAAAACCCAAACCCATTCCTTAGCCGTCTCTTCCTACCAATATCAGGGATAAATGGTCACCCTTCTGCTTAAAGGTTCTCTTTAAGATACTTCTGAGCCTGCAAGCCCAGGCTGTTGTGAAATTGGAGGAAATACCTCCATCCCCACCCAAGAAATGCCTATCTGGCTCCAGATGTTATGTGTCATTAACTCACATGCTCCGTGGGTCATTTTCTACTTGTGAGACTATGGGCAGGTCACTGAGCCTCGCTTGCCTCATCTCTCAATCGGAGCTGGAGATAGGCAACTATGGGATTTAAACAGAATTAAGGAGAGGATGTATGTAGACATGAAGTGGCCTTTCCATCCCAGCAGAACTCAATAAAGATGACTTTCGTCTGAGTCCCAACCTGAACTGCCCTTATGGAGAATGAGATGGCAGAGGGGCTCAATAAACTGTTTAATCCAGAGGTTCTCAAACTTGGAAAAATCACCAAATTTTTTAATCCAAAAAAAAAAAAAAAAAAAAATCCATGGAACCTGGAGCTCGACGTTTTCCTGTCTGGCTTGTTCCAGGACACATGAGTTTGCATTTGCTGTTCCTTCTCCCTAGAATGTCCTTCCACATTGAATCTACCGGAAACACTCTTGTTCTTCCTATGGGAGCTTGTGTATCTTTCTATCACAAGCATCTTCCACTATTCCTGACAGAGGGTAGGTACACCGTGAATGTTTTTCAAACTAAGCCAATACAACACATTTTATACCAATTTCTAGTTAAAATCCCACATGAAGATGATGAAGGAAAAAATATGAGGATATGGAATTAATAAATAAATCAGAAAGCATATTTGGCTTAGAAACTGTTGAAATGGTTATAGGACTTCTCTCTTCATATTGATATTTTCCCGGTGGTCACAGTTTTAAATAATAACAGTAATAATAAGCAGTTCCCTATCCATAGGTAGCAAAACAAATTTTAATGATTCTTAATTTCTGCTCGGGAATAAATGCACCACCATAGCATGAAGATGTAATTTGGAAGAACACAAGAAGGAAACTGGGCTTGGAAATAATATACTCAGCCAAATTTGAATATATAATCAGTAGTTTTACAAAAACACTAAAAGCTTGACTTGTACTGGCCAAGTACTCCCTCAGAATGTGAGTGCAGTTTGAAAAACCCTAGTCTAGACAACAGTTGTTTATAGAGTTCACAGAAGAGGATACTTACTGTGGATGGCCATGCTCAGGAAATGTTTTAGGACTGAAATGGATCTTGAAGACTCGTAGAAAAGGAAGGACGGTGTTTTCATTGAGAAGTAGTCAGGGTAGATAGCAGGCAATTCTGCAATGGGAGGGGTATGAGAAGATTGGAAGACTGGTTTATGGAGGTTACGGGCCCCTGGATGGTGAATGTGGGTCAGTTCGTGGAGAGTCTTGAAAGCCAAGCGAGGCAGTTTGCTATTTAGCAGGTCAACAGTGGGGAAACTCCTGAAGACTTTTGAATCGATCAAAAGCATATGACTGTCAAAAGTGCACTTCAGAAAACAAATTCCAGAAGAAATATGGGAAATTGACTGCAGGATTTGAGGTTCCGGGCAGGGAGACCGACTGCAGTGGTCCCTGGTGGTAGCAGTACAAATGAAGAAGGAAAACTGGATTCGTGAGATGTTCAGAAGGAAGAACCAGGCTAGCTTTCATTATGATTACTCCACCTACTTCCATGAAGCATTAGATTCAGATCAACAGGACTTGATGACTAACAGGATGTGTGTGCATTGAGGACCGGGGGAGGGGCCGTGACTAAGGAAAGGATACAGAGGTGACTAAGGTTTAAACTGAGTGACTGAGCTACCCATCCGTCATAACACCATTTTATTCTGAGCTTACCCCCAGACCATGGCTAGCTTCCAGAAAAGGCAGGTGCTTCCTGAGGGATGAAGGGGGGAAGGGTCTTCACCCACTGTAGGAAGGTCAGCCCAACCAATTAACAGTGAGGCTCTAAGTTCTCCAGGTGATAGAGAACTAGTATTGCTCACGGAGAATAGATGATAGCTGCCATCTTCACAGACTGTGGTAGAATCTTCATATTGGTCATAACTCAAGATCGACTGATAGAAATTTCTAACTCAAAGCAAGAGAGTATTTACTGACTCACACAGGCTAGAAGAGGATGGAATTGCTCTCAGAATTCGCTGGATTCAAGGTCTGAAAGGACATAAAATAGCTTCTCTTATTCTCTCCTTCTTTCTGCATGCTGGTATCTTTCCTGTTGAAGATAGGCTTCTTCCATGCAGCTGAGAATGTGGCACCTGGCAACTTACTCATCTGGGTTTATGCCTTATACAGTATTTCTAAATCCTAGGGAAGGACTCTATTTGGCCAATATAGCTCATGTCCTGTCTTACTGGTCCAGTCACCATAGTCAACAACTGATAGGACACTATGATTGGCCAGGCTTAACTCATACTATGGGAATAATGTGACAATTGGCAGTTTTACCAGAATTATCTGATGGGAATCAGGTATGAGCAGAAGCCCAAAGGAATGGTGGAAGGAATACTGAAACAGTAGGTGTTTATGCCAAAACAAATCTGAGACAGAAAGAAAACTTAGAAACAAGGGCAGTAGCTGCTTGGAACATGGCCTTATTAATATAATAGAGCAAGACCAGCCAGCTTAATATCCAAGGGAAGATGGTATCCACTGCCTTGACAGCAGCATTGAAATGTGGCAATATTCTCTTTCTGGTATTACTTGAGACATGATCTTGGACCTCCGGTATCCTGTGGTGGCTGAACATGTGAGCTTTAGAGGTAGACAGCCTAGGTCCTAATGCCTGCATCATCACCACTAGATATGTGGTATAAGCATCTTTGTGTAACCTCTCTGCCCTTCCATTTCCAAATATGTGTGTTATTTATTACTGCATGATGAATTATCCCCAAAACTTAATGGTTTTAAACAAAAGGCATTTCTAATCTCACAGCCCGTGTGGGTTACAGATTTGACAGCAACTTACCTGGGGGTGGTTCTGGCTCAGGATCTCTTGCTAGATTGCAGTCAAAATGTTTGCTAGGTCCGCATTCATCTGAAGGGTTGGCTGGGCTGGAGGATCCACCTCCAAGATGGCACCCTCATATGGCTGTTGGCAGGAGGCCTACACCGCGACCCACACGGGTCTTCCCATAGGGTTGCTTGAATGTTCTAATGTCGCTCTCATCTTGGCCCCCCAAAATCCAACAAAATAAAAACTGTCAAAGCTTCAACGCCTAGCATAGAGCAGCTAACTAATCTGATGTTATAGTCCATGCTAAGAAGACTAGTTGATGCAGGGATTATTTACGACATGTCAGGTGCAGTGAATGGGGATGTGATCTGATCCACACACCTCACTTTGAAGATGCGAAAACTAAGACTCAGGTTGGGTGATCTCAGAGAGAGCAAAGAGAAAGTCACAGTGCCTTTGAATATCTCATCTTAGACACCAAACATAGTCACTTATTTTATTCTTTAGAACTGAACCACTAAGCCAAGCTCATACTCAAAGGAAGCAAATTAGACTCCACCTTTTAAAGGGAGGACTAACAAAGAATTTATGAGCACGGTTGAAAGCCACCACACCCCATCTATAAATTGAGGTAATAGATAACCCATAGAGTTGTTTGGAGAATTTAATAACCTAATCCATGCAAAGCATCTATAATAAGGGCTGAGTAATGGTCCCTGTTGTAATTACAACTACTATTACCCATTTCAAACTTAATATGAGTCACTGATACCCTTGAATGTCAAAGACTCCAATAGAAAGGCATCAAACCAAATAAACTCTTCAAACTGAATATTGTTTTCAAGATATACAGAAATTCTTATTACTAATTAAGCTTTATTTCCAGCATTTTTACTTCCATAATGATTTTTATTATTACAATCATACTTATTTAGTATCTACAGTGTGCGAGTTACTATTCTTGTTGAACAAAACAGTGTCCTACCCTTATGGAGCTTACAATACAAAGGGAAACAGAGAATAAGCCAAGAAAACAAAACACATGTATACATAATTTTAATTCAGGTAGTGATGTGAACTAG